TGAGTCAGCAGAGCCCAGGGTTGGTGCAAGCACTGTGTCGCGTTCAGGGGTACCGCAGGCACCCCAGAGGTCACTGCCCCCTGTGCGCTTTCTAGGGGGAGCAACCAAGTCATGGGTTCTGCAAACGCACCTCCTGGAGGCCCTCCCCAGGGGCCTGGCCCTGTCCTCGTCTCGCCGCGTCCTCCGGCTCCTGCGCTTCCCGTCCCGGGCCAGCCCAGGGCCAGTGACGGGGCCGGTGGCAGGAACCAGCCCTGGACGGAGGTGGCCCCAGAGGTCACCCCCCGCTCCTGACAGTGCCTGAAATCTAAAAGCAATCAAAGAGGGGAGAAGGTGGGGGAAGGCTGATCTGTTTCAATCACCGGGGCTGGCCCTTCCTTGGGGCGTCCTGCAGGGAACCCCACCAGCCCCGCGTGGCCTCCTGGTCCCACAGGTTCCCGTGACAAAGCTCCTGAGCTCCCCGGGGGCATCTGTCCGCAAGGGCTGGGCGGGGCGGGTCTGGGCTTGGGAGCCGGAAGCTCAGGTTCCAGACGTAAACCTGACAGCCGTGCGAACTGGGGCTGGGGGGCATGGAGGACGGAGTGGGGGGGACCAACGAGACGTCCCTGAAGACACTGTGGCTTTCCAAGGCGGGGACAGCAACCTCCGTCCCTCTGGTTGGTGTCGCTTTGGGGAGGCGCTGACCGTCGGGCCCCAGCCTCAGCGGAAGCAGGTGCAGGGCTGGGGCTGGGGGGCAGAAGGGCCGCAGGAGAAGGTGCTGAGCCATCCGGGGGGTGGGCAGGGCCTCCCCAGGGTCCTGAGCCCACCTGCCAGGGTCCAGCGCCCAGGAACCACGCCCTGCCCGCCACGGCGCTCCCGCGGGGTCTTCCTCCCTCTTTCCTGGAGCTTTGCCAAATCAAAGGGGCGTCCTGGAGCGGCCGCCCCCCACGGCAGCCAGAGGGGACGATGCTGTTTCGGCCCCTGGCCGCCACGTGCCAGCCTGGGCAGGGCCCGCGGGGGACCCGCTGCTCCTCACCTGGTCACCCAGAGGCCAGGACGCCAGGTCAAGGGATGCGGTGGAGACTGACCCCCTTCCCCCTCCCTCCCTCCCCTCGGGCGCCCCCAGTGGGGGGCTGGGACCTGGGTGTGGTCATCGAGAACAAGGAGAAGCCAGAATGGGGTGGGGGAGCGGAGGGGCTCAGCGTGGCCGTCAGGGCCAAGGGTGGGCAGGAGGTGCCGCGGCGCGGGGCCGGCCCAGGCCTGAGAGCTCGTGAGGGCCGTGGCACTGGCCGGGAGGTGAGGGCCGCGCAGGGGCAGATGGGGCCCAGTGGGCAGGCAGCTGGCAGGGATGGCCCTGGGAGGACCCGGGGGGGCTCTCGGCTCCCTGGGGGGAGGCCAGCGGTCCCTGCCCCGGGGTCTCTGGAGCGGGTGTGTGCCCAGGGCCTCCCTCCCGCCCGAGCTCCGCTGCCCTGGGTCAGGGCTTCCGGCCACATGGCCACGGCCACGGCCACGGCCAGGCCCCGCCCAGCCCAGGCCCCTTCAGGTCAGGGAATCAAGGGGGCCTGGGGCACCCACGTCCCAAGTGCCCCATTTGACTTGTGGAGAGGACGGGGCTGGCCTGAGGGCGGAGGCGGGAGCCGGTCCCAGAACTCTTGGGTGGTGGCGACGTGCCGGGAGCCCTGGCCGGCCCCTTCCTGTGTCCCCAGAGGCCGAGAGAGGACAGACGGCCCTGACCGTGGTGCCCTTGGCTGGTCGCGCTGCATGGGGTCTTACAGGAACAGCAGAAGCTTCTGGAAGGAAGGGAGAAGGGTGTCCCGGGGGGACCAGAATGTGCAAGGGGCGGCAGGGGGCTCGGGGCGCCGGCTCCGGCTGGCCGCTACGGGCCGGGTCTCCCCCCTGCTCTTGGGCGGAGGGGCGCAGTCAGAGTGAGCTCTGGGCCTGGCGCCAGCACACCTGACGGTGTCCCCGAGACCCGGGACCCCATCACACCACGCCGTTCCCCGCCCCTGCCTTTCCCGACATCCTCTCCGGGGGCCGGGGCTGCGGGGGTGGGGCTGGACCTGGGGCGGCCCGCAGGGTCAGCCAGGCACCTGGTGGGGCCGGGGGATCTGAGGGCGAGGCGGCGCGAAGCCGAGGCCCCGGTGGTGGGGAGGCGGTCGGGGCCGGGCCTGGCTGCGGGGCCTGGGAGGGAACCGTTGGTGGAGGCTGCGGTGCCCATGTGGAAGCCATTAACAGGGTCACGGTTACCCACCGCCCCACCTGGCTCCCTGGGGGCGGGGGCGGAGGGCGCTGCGGCCGGGTCGTGTGGAGCCTCCGCCCAGCCCCGCATGGGCATCGAGACCGCTGCCCGCAGGAAGACGCTCGGCGGTGGGCGCCCCTCCCCAGCTGGGCAGCGGCCGGAGGTCTGGCGGCCCCAGCATCCGGCACCAAGCAGCCCTCGGGGGTGTCCAGGGGCTTCCTGGGAAGACGGGGGATTTAGACGGTGGCCTCGGCGGGCGGGTGGGGAGGCAGGGGGCTGGGCTGGGAGGCCGGCAGTGGGGGGGGGGGGTGCCGGGCAGCCTTGGGGTTTGACAAAGCCCTCCGACTCAGGGTGGGGTGCAGGGAAGGCTTGAGACAGGAGCCTCGGGGCCCCGGGAAGGAGGAGGGCTGCTTTGGCGCCTTGGGCACCAGAGTGCAGGGCGAGCTGGAGCCATCGGGACCAGCAGCCCCAGCCTCGCCCTCAAAGCCACCCCCTGGCCTGAGGATCAGCGTCCCCTGCTCGGGGCCATCAGCTCCGTGCGCTGTGGCGGCGGCAGGGCCGTGGCCGCGTCCTCTCTCCTCCCTCCTCGAGGGGCAGTGCTCATGAGGCACCAGCGTCTCCGGCCCCCCCGCCCCCGGCCCCCGCGGGCACACGCAGGCGCCTGGCGTGCCAGGCGGGTCTAGGCCAAGGGCACAACAGCCGAGGAAGCACCAACCGTCAGGCCTGCCAGACTTCCTGCCGCGTCAGCCCCGCTCGGGCAGCCCCCGCCGCCCCTCCAGGTGCGGGCTTGGCCGGGCTGCGCCTTCCCGAGCGGGAGCGAGACCAGCTCCAGGCGCGGGCCCAGGCGGGAGGTGAAGTGCACCCCCTGGGGCAGACATTCCGGCCCCTCCCAGTGTTCCCCAGGACCCGCAGCAGGGGGGCTGAGGCCTGGGCAGGGAAGGGGGTACCCCCATGGCGTGCTCACGCTCTCCCCAGGTCGGGACGGCTTCGTTGTTCTCCTTTCCCGCCCTCTGAACTCCTCGCCCACTCTGTCCCCCACAGTCCACCCCTTCCCGGGCCCCTTCCTGACCCTGCCCACGAGGTATCTGCCGCCAGGAGCAGCGCTCAGGGCCACCAGGGCACTGACCGTCCTCATCCCGCTGGCAGCGAGTCTCGACGTGCCGTCCAGGGAGCCACAGGCTGTGGCGGGCACCCCGAGGGGCAGCGTGCCTCCCAGCTCTGTCCTCCATCCCCGAGAAAGCTCCAGCCATCAGGGGCCTGGCCTTTCGACAGCCGCTGGCCAGGAGCCCACCACCCTGGACTGACGTGCCCGGTGATGCCAGGGACCTCTCGGGCACCGGAGGGGGGTCTGTTAGGCCAGGGTGGTGAGAAATGACCGGAGGGTGTGCTGCTCCCGCAGGCCCAGGGCGTCCGCGCTGCTCTGCTCACCTGCCCCTCCCTAGAAGGACCCAGACCCCAAGCCCCGAGGCAGGCACCAGGGACAAGGGACACCAGCCCGCGGGGCGCTCCCCAGGCCCCTGGCTAACTCGGAGGCCAGGCTGTGGCCCTGATAAGGGGGGCCCCCTCGACCACCAGCAGAATCCCTTTTCTCGAGCCTGCATGTGGGTGTCAGGCTGGCTGCTGGCCCGGGGCCGTGGGGTGGAGCCAGAAGGGGAGTGGGGGTGCGATTCCCCAACACTATCTTCAGCCCCCTTCACCGTGTCCCTGGGGAACAGGCTGCTACCGCAGCGCAGTCCGGGGGGCCACCTCGGGGTGTCTGCTGCTGCTCCCCACGCCCCAGCGGGGACATCTGCCGGCCCTGGCCTCTGTCCTCTGTCCCCTCCCCTCCTGCGGCCACCGGCCTCTGCGACCCGGGTGGCTCCTCCCGCTGCCCCGCAGCCTCCCTGCTCTGCGGACCTGCCCCGCTGAGTCCCGTGCCTGTGGAGCTTGTTCTCTGCGTCTGTGCCTCTCCGGGCCCCTCCTGTCCCCTGCCCGCCTCCCCTGCGGCCAGCTGCTGGGACGGGACCCTCCAAGGCTCCCCGGCCGGCCCAGCCGGGGGCCCACCCTTGTGCATTTGCCAGGTCGAGGTGCCAACGGGACAAAGCGCCTCCGCCTGGTCTGGCCTCACCTCCGCCCTCAGCGGACACCCCTGGCCCCAGGAGGGAGCCCCAGGCGCGGGCACAGCCCTGGGGACCCGGGCCCTCCCCTGCGCGGCCCTGAGGCCCCCTTCATTATGCGCCGCCTTTAATGGGCGTTTGTCAGCGCGACTTCCCGCAAGTTGTTTTCGGGGACATCAGTCATCACGGCGGTCCCATTGTGCCGGGGGATTGATGGGGGGCGGGAGGGGGTGACAGGGCCTGGGGCGGCCGCCTCGAGGCCTCGGTCTATAATTTTCGGAGGCGTAATTGGCCTGGGGGAGGGGCGGGGGAGGGGCGCGAGGGGCTCCCAGCGCCGGGAGGGCGCGCGGGGGCGCTGGCGCGGCCGGGGCTGCGGCGCGGCTCGACGGCGCGCGCGGGGGCGACGGCGAGCGGCCGGCCCGAAGCCCGCGCCCCGCGGGGCTCCCCACCCGCCGGCCCCCGCCCCTCGGAGCCTCCGCCCGCGACCACGTCGGCCTTTTGTTGCCCAACCGTCTTTTCTTTCAGCGCCTGGCGCGGCCACGGGAGTCTCCGCCGGTCCCGGGAGAACCGGAGCCTCGGCCGGTCCCGGGCCGCGCCCTCGCGGTCCCGCCGCCGCCCGCGCGCCCCGCGCGCCCCGCGCGCCCCGCCCGCGGCGCCCCCGCGCCCCCGCCGCGCCCGCCGGCCCGCGCCCTCCATGGGCGCCGCGCTCGCCCGCAGCCGCCGCGGGCGCGGGGCGCGCGCGAAGCCGCCATGGGCCTGATCTGGCTGCTGCTGCTCGGCCTGCTGGAGCCCGGCTGCGGCGCGGCGGGCGCGGGGGCGCGGGCGCGGCGCGACGCGGGCGGGCGCGGCGGCGTCTACGAGCACCTCGGCGGGGCGCCCCGGCGCCGCAAGCTCTACTGCGCCACCCGGTTCCACCTCCAGCTGCACCCGAGCGGCCGCGTCAACGGCAGCCTGGAGCACAGCGCCTACAGTGAGTGTCCCGGGCGCCCGCCGGCAGCCCCCCAACTCCCCGCACCCCGCAGGGACGCCGCGGGGCCCAGGCGGCGCGGACCGCGAGGCTGCGGCGCGCCCCGGCCCGGGCGGCGACGGCGCGCCCCGAAGGGCGCGGGGAGCGGACCCCGCGGCCGCGGAGACCCCGGGGGCCGCCCCTCCCGCGGCGGGACGGGGGCGCGGCGCGGGCCCGGGGCTCGGCGAGGGTGCGGGGGCGCCCCGGGGCCGCTCGGACGCGCGCCCGCGCTGCAGGCGGCCCGGAGCTCCCGCCCGGCGGGGCCCGCGGCGCCGGCGGGTTGAAACCCTCTGCGCTTTCCGGGGAACAGGCGCTGGACGGGCGCTGACCATCCTCTCCATGCGACCCCTCCTCCGCCTGCCGACCCCGGGGCGCCCCGCGCCCGCCTGCGCCCTCCCGGCTCGCGGCTGCCGCGCGCCCGGGCTCCGCGGCGAAGGCGCGCGGGCTGGGGGGCTCCGGGGCGCGCGCCGAACCCCGCTGCCGCGTCCGCGCCCTGGCCGCAGGGCCGGCGTGGGCGCCCGGGGTGCGCCGCGGGCATCCGCCCGCGTCTGGGGCGCGGACACACCCACCCGCCCCGCCCAGACACCGGACCCGCGGGCCGGGCTGCTGAGAAACGAGCCCGCGCGGCTCCCCAGGTGCCCGCCGCGCGCAAAGCCGGGGCGCAGGAAGCGGCTCCCCCGGGGCGGCTGAAGGCGGGAGCCCCGTCCGGCGGGACGGCAGGAGCGCACGGCGCGTGGGCAGGACCGGCACGCCCCGTGGGGCTCCCCGCTGGCCGCCCCGCCCGGCAGGGAAGCCGCTGTGCCCGAGGCCGGGCGAACCGCGGCCGCCCAGGAGCGCAGCCCGCGCGTTCCCAGCCGCCGCCCGCCTGGGGCCAGTGTGGCCTGGGGAGCGCGCAGGACCAGGTCGTGGAGCCCCAGGGCAGGGACCTTCGTTCCCTCCAAACCCAGCCCCCCTCCGGCAGCCGCAGAGCAGTCAAGTGCTCGGGGCGTCCAGAGTGACGGCCAGGCAGGGCCAAGGCCTTCCCCACCAGGCTCGGTCCCTTTAGCCTGCTGGCGGGGCTAGCGGGGTGCAGTCTGCAGCCCCAGCTCTGCACAAGCCTCCGGCAGTTCACACCTGTGCCCTAGGGTCCCGGGGTGCTGGGCTGGTGCCCAGAGAGCAGCTGCCAGAGAGGGCACAGGCCTAAGTCCCAGCACCCCTGGGAGCTGCTAGGGGGGACCGCAGGCCCCCTGAGGGGCCTTATGACCTGAGGGAAGATTTTACTTTCGTGAGCAGCGGGTGGGCCGGGGACTGGGCCAGCCCCCGCCGCGTCCCCTTGTGAACCCTGGGGTCTGCGGCTTGGTGCCCGTGCCCTCTCCCGGCCCCCGGTGTGGCCCGGTGGTCTCTGCCGTGGTCCACTGGGCGGCGTCCTCAGGGCACGCTGCATGGCCTGCCCTCCCGGGCTTCCTCGGGGGCCTCGGCCCCAGCAGGGGCGCCGGGCCTGGGTGCGGGCTGCGGCTGCGCGCGAGCGGGTGTGGGCCAGCACCGCCGAGGACCGCGGCCATCCCCCCGGCCGGGCTGCGTGGGGCCCCCGGCGGGCATGGAGTGGAGCTAGGCTTTGCCACGTCCCCTCTGAACCCCAGTTCTCTCTGGGGGAGCCTTCCTGGATGCCACCCTGGGGACCTCCAGCCCTGTCACCCCCTCCCTCCCAGCCCCGAGTAGCTTTGGCCGGGCCCACCTGCAGGAGGCCGGTGCCAGGAGCCTTCCCCGTCTCCCCAGGTATCCTGGAGATCACGGCGGTGGAGGTGGGCATCGTGGCCATCAAGGGGCTCTTCTCCGGGCGCTACCTGGCCATGAACAGGCGGGGCAGGCTCTACGCTTCGGTGAGTCCCCTCTCAGGCCGCGTGGGCGGGCGGCTGCCTCCCTGAGCGCCCCAGCAGGGAGCGGGCGACGAGCGCAGCCCCGGCCGTGACTCCATGCCCAGCGCTCCCCGGCTGCCAGCCCCAGTGCCGTGGAGTGGCCCCTGGCGCGCTGGCAGCGCTGCGAGTGAGCCGGTGCCCCGCCGCTGTCCCACTCCGGCCCTTCCCTTGGGGTCGCGGAGAGCGATGGGGGTGGTCCCCAAGTTTCTTCTGAAACCCACGGGCCCAAGGGCGCAGGCTTGGGCCTGAGCAGGGGCACATCAGGGGTCTTCTGCTGCCCACCCAGGGCTCTGCGGGGGCGGGGTGGGGCTTCCTGCCCAAGAGGGGGCCCGCGGGAGCCTTCGTTCTCAGGAGGGAGCCCCAGGGAGGAAGCGGGGCCACCCGGCTTGGGCTCGGGGCTCGGGACCCGGTTCTTCCTTCCGCGTGGGGCCGGGCCCGGGTCTGAGCGCCGGCAGCCCCTCCCGAGCGCGGGGCGGCCATGGAGGAAAACACGAGCGGCCAGGAGACTCGCTGCCACCCAGCCGCCCTTAGGCGGGGTCCGGCCGATGCCTCCCCGGGCCGCGGGAGCTTTCCTCGGGCGCCAGACGGCCGCCCCACCCTCTCGGCCCCCGCCCCTGTCCCAAGTGAGCCCGAGCGCACCCCGTGCGTGCTCTGGGCCCGGCTCTCGTGGGAGCCTGCAGGGCAGGGGCTCCGGGACGTGCTTCCAGACGCTGCAGACAGCACCGTGGCTTGTGAGACGACCCCTCGGCCCGGGGTGCGGCCTGAGATCAGGGGGTGGACGGAGCTTTTCGCATCCCTGGCCCTGGTGCCCGTGTCTGAAATGGCCTGGGCCACCCCCACTGCCCCTACCCCGTGGAGAGGGGCACCAGGGAGGGGTCCTGCTGGCTGCGGTGATGGGGTGGGCCTTGCTGGCCACGAGGGTTTTCACCTGCCCAGGAGTCCGGCACGGGTGGGGACGGCGACCTGGAAGAGGGGACGGGCCTCCGGCACTGCCGCAGAGCAGAGCGGGGCCTGGGGGCCCAGTGGCTCAGGCCTGCCTGTGGCGGCGCGTCCCTCACACAGGCCAGCTCGTCCGCTTCTGGGGTCTGTGGTCAGTGCACCCCAGCATCCCCCATCCAGCCCCGCGCCCTTCTGGGTTACCCTGAGAGGGCAGCGCACCCCACGGCCTTCGCCGTCACCACTCGTTCAGGCCCAAGGCCAGGGGCGCGCGGCGAGCCCCTCTCCGCCCCAAGTGCAGACCCTCAAGTCGCTCCTCGCCTCTGTCTGGCCACAAGGCCCTCGCCCCTCGCCCACCTCACTGCCCACACCTTTGGGCCTGGGCTGCTGGCCCCGCTCCCCTCCTGGGGCCGGCATCTGCCGCTCCCCGCCCGCGGAGGGCAGGGCGTCTGGGCCGAGCCGGCAGACACTCCAGGCCCGGTTCCGGCTCTGCCCACGTGCCTTCGTCCCCCTCAGCCTGTGGGAGGGGACCCCAAGGCCAAGACTGCGACTCTCAGAGTTCAAGGTTCAGGGCTGGGACCCCAACACGGCCTTAATGGAGACCCGGCCACGTCCGCCAGGGGCTCCTCCAGTGCCCGTGTGGCCTCCCCCGCGCCAGCCCGCCCAGCCCCGGCCGCACCCCTCCCTTGTCCTGCTGACCCGTCCTACTGGGCGCCAGTTGCCTGCAGGCTTTGGGACACCTGTCTTTTCTGCTGAGACAACTCTCCACACCCCTGGGCTGGGGCTGCCCCCCCAGTTGGTGCCCATGGGAGGCGGGGGGCGGGGGACCCCACAGGGGCGGCGGAAGGCCCATCCTCTGGGGATGCTCAGGACCCCCTGTCAGGGAGACACCTGAGCTGAGCCCCCGAGGTCAAGTTCCCCAGACTCAGGGCGGGAGGGCAGGCCCACTGGGGTGAGGGAGCAGGGCAGTGGGCGGAGAGCCAGCAGGGCAGAGGTGGGCGGGGTGTGGGGGCTCCCCGGGCCCCGGGGTGGGGGGCGGTGGCTGACGCCCGCCCCGCCCGCAGGAGAGCTACAACGCTGAGTGCGAGTTTGTGGAGCGCATCCACGAGCTGGGCTACAACACCTACGCCTCCCGGCTGTACCGGACGCTGCCCAGTGGCTCGGGGGCCCGGCGCCAGCCCGGCGGCGCCGAGAGACTGTGGTACGTGTCGGTGAACGGCAAGGGCCGGCCCCGCCGGGGCTTCAAGACGCGCCGCACCCAGAAGTCCTCGCTGTTCCTGCCCCGGGTGCTGGACCCCAAGGACCACGAGATGGTGCGGCTGCTGCAGAGCGGGGCCGGGCTCCCCGGCGTCCTGCCCAGGCCCCCGGCCCAGGGCGTCCCGCCCCCACGGTGGCGACAGCGGAAGCGGAGTGGGGCCGGCAGGAGGCGTGGGGGCCCGGCCCCTCGGGGCTCCGGGCTCCAGGCCAGCGGCCCGGTGGGAATGGACTAGCCAGCCCCAGCCCCGCCGCGCGGCTGACCGCAGGGCGCGCGGCTGCCCCTCCCCGCCCCGCCCTCCTGCTGCTGGGCCGGCCGGGGTGTCCAGGCTGAGGGGACGTCGCCGAGCCCTCCCGACTCTCCAACAAGGGCACTCGGAAGCGGGCCTGACCGGGCCGCTCGCAGTCAAGATGCGGGTGGGCTCGCGGGGCCGGGCGGCGCCCCTGCAGCAGGGGACAGTGGGGGCTGGGCCCGCCATGGGACAGTGCGGGGGGGCAAGTCGGAGCATTAAAGTATTTCACCCTGCTCTGTTCTTTAGTAGCTGTAAGGCACCCCGAGGGCGCGCTGGCCGGGCCTGCCGGCTCAGCTGGGGCGGTGGCGCTCGCTGAGCTGAGTCGTTATTTAGGCCGCGAGCGTGTGCGGGGAGGCCTGTGCTCCAGGCGCGCTTCAGTCCCTGGGCCTGAAAGTTACTGTTTTTCAAGTCGGCAGATGGCGGGGGTGGGTGCCCCAGCGTGTGCCTGTGCGTGCTCGTGCTCGCGTGTGGCCGAGAGTTTGGGTGTGCTGCACCTGGTGTGTGCACACTGGGGGGTCTGGGTGTTTCTGCGGCGTCTGCATGTGACGGGCAGGCTTGCCTGTGTGCACGGGTGTGTGCACGGGTGTGCGCTTGTGTGCGTGTGCGTGTGCGTGTGGAGAGTGAGACAGAGAGGTTATGTTTAGGATTCCCCGTAACTCCCCCCATCCTGAGGCTGCGTTGTCCGGGCAGCACTGGGTGGCTGGGCCGAGGGCAGGCGCTGCCTGAGGACCCCACTCAGAGGGGGACGTGGTTGCCGGTTCCCTCACAGACCGCAAGCCTCCCAGCCCCCCAGCAGCTGCCGCCACCCTGGGGTAGGTGGGGTCGCCTGGCCAAGAGGGCCAGCACCGTTGGGAGCTGGCAGGGGACAGCCCCATGCCCGGGCCGGGTGAAGGGTGTGGTTAGTGCGGTGCGCTCGGTGCAGGCGGGCCGCCCCCGCCCCCGACCAGCCAAACACATGGACAGGGCTGCGTGACGCCTGTGGGAATCTCGGGGGAGGCTGCGGAGCCCAAAGACCCAGCCCCCGACCTGCACCCCTCAGCAAGAGGCATCTCAGGGAGGCGCACTCCTGGGAAGGCCGCCAGGACCCCTCGGAGCCCCCGCAGCCACTGCCGTTACCTGGCAGGGACAGGGACAAGATGCTCCCGGCACGTGGCTGGAAGGGGGTGAAGCGCCCTGTCCACCCAGCACCCGGTCAGCGGGCAGTCCCGAGGGGACTGAGAACAGACGAGCAGCAGCACGGGCCTCTGCAGCCGGCCAGACGCTGTGCCCTGCGGGTCCCGGCCCCCCGCCAGAGGCTGCATTTCCAGCCCGGGGGAGGATGCAGAGATGGGTTGAATGGTGTCCCCCAGACCCATCTCCCGGGTGGAGGACTGAGTGCCGGCTGGGGTATGGCAGGGCCCAGATGCCCACCTGGGGCCACTGTAGCCCACAGGGATCAAGTTGGGGACTTGGTAAGTGGAGCTGAATAAATTGGGGATAAAAGGGGGGAAATAGACCTTTTGCGAATGGCCACCTACCCGCTGCCTGCGCAGAGCTGGCCGGAGAGGTGGCCAGAGGCCCTCGGCAGGGAGGCCCGGGGGGGTGGGGGGCCGGCTGGTGTGAAGCCAACACGACAGGGCCCCCGGGCCCCGCCCTGGGCGGCCGGCTCGTCCCTCTCTGCCCCTGCCGGGGTCAAGCCGCTCTCGCCGGGGAGGCAGGCCGGGCCTGGGTGACCGCGCGCCAGCTGCTTGGAGCCGGCCTGTGAACCCCCAGCGTCGGGGGCTGAAGGACCCGGGAAGGTGAACCAGCAGGTCTATAATTAGCGCCCACCCATCGGAGGGCGACCTTGCCCGGGCCACATTCCAGGGCTGAGCCAGATTTAGCCCCCAGGGCGACCCCGGCCCGAGCAGGCTGCAATAGCTGGCATTCCAGGGGCGCGGCACCTGTGCCGGAGCGCCGGGCCGGCGGGCTGCGCGGACCCGGGCTCGCGGGAAGGGGCTCCCGGTGGGAAGCGGCGGCGCGGCGCTGATTCGGGGCCCCCGGCCTCAGGCCCCCCTCAGGCAAACAGACTCCCACAGTGGCCGAGGGGCTCTGCTGGGGCCGGGCAGACGCTGAGTGGTCCGCGGGGAACAGCTGCGGAGCCTGAGCGAGGGGGGGAGGCACTGCCCTCGGCGCGGGCCTGGGGATGCGCGGAGCCCGCCCCGCGCCCGCAGCGGCCCTGGTTGGAAGGACACGGCCATGCCGGGCAGCGGGACGGCCCGGCCGCGGGGAGCTGGTGCGGGCTGGGCGCGCCGGGGAAGGCCATGCCTCGGGCAGGTGAGTTTTAAGATGGAAACTCCAAATTTATTTATAATTACTGGCGAAATCAAAATATTTATTTTGCTTTTTATGTAGTTCAGGAGAATAGAAATAACTCTCCATCCCTCCACCCGCCCGTCCATGCATTCATTCATCCACCACCAGCCGCCACCATCCCCCACCGCGCACCCGTCCTCCATCCACCCATCCACCCTCCACCCTCCATCCGTCCAAACGCCCCCCCAGCCAGCAGACCTTCAGAGCCACCTGGGATTTGAAAGGGCCAGACTGAGGGGGTGAGGGGGAGAAGGGGCAGAGGAAAACCCCACTTCGTGACGAGGGGTGTCTAGGAGCAGGGCTTCGAGGTGAGGCCAACCCGGGTGTCCATGGTTCGATCTCAGTCATCGCCGGGAGGCCAGGTAAGGCTCGTTCACCGGTCAGGGCCTGTCCCCTCCTCTGTGAAAGGGGGACACGGAGGACACCAACGTCACACGCCGGTCCCAAGGCTCCCGCAGCTAGAGCAAGGCCTGGGGCCTGCAGGTCACCTCGTGGCTCCGGCTCTGGCAGGAGGCAGTGGGGGTCGGGTGCGAGAAGGGCCTCTGAGTGCTACCTCTGTTCTAGACCATTCTAAGCGCGAATCCTCCTAACCCCATCCTGGCGTGACTCAGTCCTCAAACACCCCGAGAGCAGTTAGCAGCCCGCCTGCTGGGCCATGGGCCTGACACCGGAATGGGCGTGGGGCGGGCGATAGGGCCAGGCTGGTCGGGGGTCAAAGCCCGCCCCTGTATAACAGCGAGGCAGACTGCCCGGCCCTGCCAGGAGGTGGGGCTCCCTGGAGTCCCTGGAGTCCCAGCCGGATTTGGGAAGAGGGAGGCCTGTTGGGGGAGCCCCGTCTGATTCCTAGGGCCCTTTTCTTTACCAGACATTTCTCTCTGGCCCCTCCCCTCCGTGAACTCATACTCTGCAAGAGCAAGTAGATGCGAAAGCTCACATTCAGGTCTCAGGAGAGCAGACTGAGCCTCTAGGGCCTCAGCAAGTCTTTGTGGCTTTTCAAGAGTCACCTCTTGTCACCAGGAGGCTCTTCCAGCCCCTGCTTCCTTGCAACACCCATACCCCCCACCCATTCTCCCTCCCAGCTCTCCCGAGCACTGCTGTCTGCCCCACGCTCTTCCCTGCCGCGGGGCCTTTGCACACGCTGCCTGCCGGGTCTACCCTTCCACCCACTGTCCACCCTCCAGCTGCTTCTCAGTCTTCACTTCCTAGAGACCTGTGACTGCCCTCCCCAAAGCCACGTTCCCTGGCATGGCCCCTCCTGCCTTGCTGCTGCCTTTCCCAGGTCCTGCAACAATCTGTCGTTACCTTTTGCAGATGAGAAACTGAGGCTCAGAGAGATTAAGCGGTTTTCTGAGGTGCAGAGCCCAGGAGGAGCGAGGCAGGGCAGCTGCCAGGTCTCTTGAGCTGTAGACATGAAGCGTGGGCAGGCAGGATGTGGGCGAGGGGCATGGGCAGGCCGGAGCTTCTTCCATATGTTAGAGGGAGACGCCTGTGGACCCAGAAATTCTGCATGGAGGTGTCCTTTCAAGACCAGGAGTCATGTCTGCAGACACCTGCACACACTGGCGGCCTCACCACCTGGCCAAAGGCTGGACGGGCCCAGACACCCTGTGAACGGCTGAAGCAGATGTGCTGGAGCCACGCCGTGAAATATTACTCAGCCATGAAAAGGGCTGGGCTTGGAGCCAGCTCAGCCAGATGGGCCCTGGAGCTTCAGGCTGAAGATGCCACGTGAAAGGCTCTCCCACAACCCCACGCCCAGAAACGCTGGAGTTGGCAAGCCCGTGGGCACAGACTGGGGACCGATGGTGTCCAGGGCTGTGGGAGCTGGGGTGAGCGAGGAGGTGCTGACGGGACTGGGGGTGGCGCACGCTGAATCTTGCCTTAAATGGGTAAATTGTATCTCAATAAATCCTACAGCACGCAGCAAACAGGCACTAGGCCTGCTAGTCTGTCTGGGAGAGAGGGAGTGGTGGGCCCTCCCCCTGCTTTGGGGACACCTGGGAGACAGGAAGTGGGGGGCTAGGTGGCCCTGAGGGGTCTGGGAGAGCCTCCCTGGCTGCAGTACTGAGGCCCACCAGCAGGTGGCGGGGACCTCGGGGACCAGACCAGAAGGTCCCCCCACCTGCGCCTGCTGGGTGCCGGCAGCACCCCACAGTTGAGTGCCCTGGGCAGCGCCTGCCCTGTGACCGGGTCGGGCCGTCAGGAAGCGTCCAGCTCCAGTGCAGGACTGAGCCTGGGAGCATGGGCCCATGTCTGAGGGGCCGGGCATCTTGCTGAGGGCCCCACCGGGGCCAGGGTATGGTGAGGAGCAGCAGGGGCCTGAGGCGTGGGTAGCACACAGCAGCCCCACCCTGGCGAGTCACAGGAGCCTCTCACCCAAGGCCCCACAGCTTCCAGGCCGGGCACCGCGTTCAAACCCAGCTGCTGGTCCTGGCTCGGGGCCTCGGGACCTGATTTCACAGTTTTGTCTTCGGCCCTCGATGCCAACCGGCGCTTCTCAAGATGAGGTGGCCTGACCTGGGATTGGCTAGAAATGCAGCCTGGGCTTGCTCCAGACAGCAGGACCGGAGCCCCCAGGGAGGGCCCCCCCAGGGGGTGCAGCGAGTGCT